CAGCTATAGAAAATGCTTCTTTGACAGTTAAGACTTCAGGGTAGAGCGTCATTTTCAAACACGGCTGTTTAAACACAGGTAGTCAAATATGTACTTGTGGGGATTGGGTTTTTTTCTTGTTTTTCTTTTTTTCTTCTAGCTGTTCATTGCTGCTTGTTTTCTGTGACCTGAAAATGCTGCTAATACAGTTTTTGATGTCTGCTACCATAACATCCCTGTTCTTTCCTTTCCCAGAACACCACTCTAGTTTTTGCCCTCTTTTGGACAAGGTTTCTTCTTCTCATACTGTTGCTATCCTTAAGCACTATAGGATATTTTTCTGCTATAGGGTTTCTTAGAATGAATTATTTTTAAATAGCTCAACTCTGGAAAAGGAGTTAAAATCTGAAAAGGAACAGAGACAAACTTTGCAAAGAGAACTACACCAAGAGAAGGATGCCACTGCTCTGCTTAAAACAGAATTGCAACAAATGGAAGGACTGAAAAAGGTACACACTGTGCAAATGTGCCCAGCGTTCAGGATTAAAGCTGACTTAGAATCAGTGCGATGTTTGCATCTGTAATAGAGGAGTTTCTTCTATATCACTCTCCTCTGAGGGGTTTCAAAAGCTTGGCTGACATAATGTAAGTCTGCACATGAAATGCCAAGAGAAAAGGAACTAGGAGCAATAGAGGGCTCGGGCAATGAAAGCAGCTTGGCTAGAGGTGCCTGAGGAGGCTTTCTCTGCCCTGCCTCAGCTGCACAAGTGTCTGAGTCACTCGTCAGCCAGCAGCTGAGGTGGGATAGCTGGGGACAAAAAGCTCATCAGCTGTCCTGTGATGAGATACATACCCCTGCCCAGGTAGGAAAGGACAAGTTCACTGTTTCCAGTGACACTCTGGGGTCTTCCAACTCTATGTAATAAAATGAGAACACATTTTCTAGCATTTGAAACCATGGAATGCAATTTATTTTTTTTTAAGTGTGAACATTCTAGTTAACCTGAAGAGAATTTGATCCTGTGTGTCTAGCAGTTTAGATTTTGAAGACACAATTGTACACCAGTATCTGTCCACACACTCATGTGTGGGCATAGGACGGCTCCATTCTACCTATGCTCAAGGATGTTTAAAGCCTGAAAAATCTTCCTTTTTCTGGTAAATACAGTTAAATGATCTCATTTGTGCAGAACCCATGGGTAGTTCACCCATGTAATCCTAAAAATCAAGCCTTGGAAACAGGTAGCTTTGTAAAGGAGCTTATTCTTGTGAACTGCTTGGGTAGTTTGGTAGACTGATCTAGGTTATAGGTCAAACTTAGCACACAAAGAACTTGATTTTGTGCTTGATTTGGTAGGAACTGAGAAAACTGCAAGATGAGAAGCAGCAGTTAGAGAAAGTCTGTGAGGAGCAGGAGCAAGCTCTTCAAGAAATGGGACTTCATCTCAGCCAGTAAGTTCTAGAAATTAGAAAACTATCTCAGCCCAACCCAGCACAGCTCCTCTAAGGGATGTAACCTGGAGGATGGAGTATCAAACTAATACAAATAATTTTAAAACCCATCCAATTATAAAAATCAGTAATTGCAAGAATTTTAGGAGACATGGGAAACTAAACAGCCATAAAATAAAAGTGAGGGAAGATCCTTGCACGAGTAAGATGGCTGAGATGGAAAACAATACAGTAAATGCTTCATTCTTACAGTGGAACTCTGCTTTTCCCACCTTCTGAATATACTGAAAAGGGGGCCAACCCCAAGGTGACAAAGTTTCCTGGTGATGGTGAGTGGTTTGGAGTTTTAACAAGGAGCTGACTGAAGAATTAGATTGAGGGGCTAGACAGTGGAGTGGCAAATTGAACACAAGTGAATGTAAAGTCATGCAGAAAGAATATATTTTTTTTTCCAGATCAAAGTTGAAGATGGAAGATATTAAAGAAGTAAATAAAGCACTAAAGGTAATCTACATCTCATGGATGTTTTGACTAAACATATGCATTTCATTCCATACCTTCAAATTTCACCACAGTTATCCAACTTTAGAAGACAGCTTTTGAAAAATACCAACAATGTTGGTGAACTGCCTTTTGAATCTTATTTTATAAATTTATCTACAGTAAGGTTTTCATTCCAATTTTCCAGGGTCATACCTGGCTGAAGGATGATGAAGCAACACACTGCAAGCAATGTGAAAAGGAATTCTCTATCTCAAGAAGAAAGGTAGTGGTGTTCAGTGGATTATTTTTTTTTCCTTTTATCATAGAAAAGAAAAATAGTGCTGTTTCCTAGTTTGCAAGGGAAGACTGACACTGCTTCAGTTCCCGATCTTGTTGGCAAGATAACTACATAGAAAAGTAATTTGGTATTTCCCATCCTAAAACCAATGTTGTTCTGCTTGGGCCCTGTCCTGGGTAGGGAGCTGTTACAGGCTCAGCTCTCTTGCGATGCAGTTCATCTCCCGTCCCTGTTGCACTGCCTAACAAGGACTGGATGCTGACAGGCCCTCCTCGGTGGCACGCAGTGGCAGGGGGACTGCTGCTGGGGTCCCGTCTGTGCTTTGGGGCAGCTCTTTGTGCCTGCATGGGTGCCTGGCAGCCCAGGCACCAGGTTTCCTCTGCCTAGAACTGGGCCTGTGCGTGCTTTCCCGAAAGCCTGGGCCTGGCCGCATGGTGACCTGCATGGGCTCTGCCGGGCAGCTGCGACATGGCAGCAGGGTGGCTCCTCCAGCCCTGGCCAGGCCTGCTGTGCCTGTGAGCTGGGGGTGAGCAAGCGGCTCCTGGGCCTGAGGGGAAGCTGGGCTGGCAGGAAGCCCACCGCTTCGCCTTTGGTCTCTGCGTAGGGGCAAGGGCTGCTGGGGGGGCTGGGCCTGTTGGGAAGTGGAGGGTGACAGCAGTAGACTCCCAAAGCTTTTACAAGGTCTGAATTATCTTCTCATGATCCTCAGTTTTTTGGCAGCTGTGCTTATTCTAACTCTCTGTCTGTAGCATCACTGCAGAAACTGTGGGGACATCTTCTGCAACACTTGTTCCAGTAATGAACTTGCACTGCCATCGTATCCTAAACCTGTCCGTGTTTGTGATACTTGTCACACGTTACTCCTTCAGCGGTGTTCGTCTAATTCCTCCTAAAGCTTTTGTGACCTCAACAGGACCATTATAATATTGGAAGAGTAGCCATTATTTTTTTAATTCTGAATTCCAGGCATCCTCTGTGTGGCAGACTGTCTGGTCTCTAATATTTTCCACTGTAAGGCAGAACAGTGTAAAATAATTTGTAGGGATTATTATGCAACCTAATATTTCTCCAACTGGAATAATTAAGAAAATTATATAAACTGTAATTTCCCTTAAAGTTCTATTTGAAATTAAAATGCAAATTCACTTTTCTGATTTTTTTATAGATATTTGTATTAAAATTTGTATATGGCATTTCTGCATTTATTTAATCCCTCTGGACATCACTGTCTTCCTGCACATTAACTTCACTTCCTCTGTATCTTCATGGTAGGTGCTCCTGTGCATTTCACTGGCTTGTGTACAGTTTTGTATTTGCTCTAAGAAAAGTCAGTTATGAATTGTCTATAGGAAGAGCTTTATGATGAGTGTCAATGAATGTGCCTTCAGTTCACTGCAGAGTCAAAAACTACACCTTGTATTTGTTCTGAAAGTTGTTGTAACCACAGCAGTTACGCAATAAACCCTTTTGCAAAAACTAAAAGCCAGAGTGAAGTTCTGACTTTTAACAGCTGTCAGTTATGGATCCCAGAAGAGGATGTTCCTGTGCAGCTGTGCATGTTGAAGGCTGAAGGTAGAGCTTCAAAGGTGCATCTGGTGTGGCTGACACACGCACGCTCATGGTGCTCTCTAGAAGGTGCCAGGTAGAGGCAGTGCCCTGCAGGGGTGACTGTGCCCAGCCTTCCCCAGGGAACCGTGGGCAGTGCCTCCAGCTTGCTGTGACAGCAGCTCCAGTAGCTGCTGCCTCCAGCAGAAGTTACCAATTGCTGCTTGGCTCTTGCTAATGATGGCATTTTTCTCAAGCCTGAGCAAGGCTGCCCTAGGCCAATGCAGGAGTTTTTTCATGGATGCCCAGCTCTGCTGTGCATCAGGGAAAGTGAGCTTAAAAGTCACACCTGTAACAACACTGGAGAAGCCCAGGTGAAGGCAGCCACGTCCCCAACAGCACCCACACTGCTCAGCCAGTGTCACACAATGCCACACAGCCCCGGCTGAAGCAAGCACACCCTTGCATACAGGCTCTTTCTTTCTGAGGCTTCACCAACACCAGCACAAACCACAGCCGAACTCTGCCCCAGGCTGTTTTGGCCCTTCAGTTCCCCCCCAAGCTCTGCTGAAGCTCAGCAGGACACAAGTGCATTGAGCTGGGCTGTAGCACCTACCCTGCTACAGCATAATCTATGGCTGCCATCAGCTGCCAGGTTTTTAACACTGCAAGGACAACGACTTGTTTTATCAAATGTCAGGAGTTTGAGCCTTCCTAGCTCCACTGTAGCAGAAGGTGACAGGGTTTCTTCACTGGAAAAAGGGATCCCAGATTTCTAACCCCTGGGGGAAGAAGGGGTAATTAGAAAGGGCAACTAATACATTTTCAAACTTCCTACAGCAAACGCATAAGAAGCAGATTCCATATTACTTCAGAGGGAAGTTCCAGTGCTCAAAAGCTGTTAAACCACCTTGAACCACAGCATGTGACAAGCTGCATTTATTGAAACATGGTTGCACTGAGCTGCAAAGGCCATTGCAGCTCCACAGAGATGCCCCCAAGTATAGAACTGCCCCTTGGCCACTGGTGGCAGCTTTGCAGCTGTGGTCACTGCACATTCTGTGACACTTGAACCAACGCTCCCCTTGTCACCTGAGCACACACACACACACCCCCCCCAGCACATCAGGAATAGACACAGTGCTCACAGGAGACACATATTCCAGTACTACAGTCACCCAGGACACAACAATGCTTCTGCAGGTGTAGCTACACCACAGAAGCCAGAGGTCAAGAAGGAGTAAGTTCCAGTTTTTAAAAGGAAGATTTATTTAACAAGTTTCACTTAGCGCAATACACCTAAAAAGGAAATCACAATACAATGAAAGATTAAATCAAGGCCTCAGAATTTTATACGAACACCAAGACCAAAATCCTAAAGTAGCCGTATTGCGTCTCAACATGTTTCCCCCATTAACTTAAAAAAAAAGCTTTAACGTGCCTTACAGGATATTAAAAGAAATAAACTAGAACTAACATGCCAAATGTTCACTTTGAATTTCAGACACAGCTCCTATATTGTTTCTTTACAAAAAAGCATGTCTCTTTCAACATGTATTCAAAACAGTGTCAGATGTAATATGGTATAAGAGCAACATTTAACATAATTCAAACAGCTTTAACCTAAATACGCTTACTGCTTAAATACACTCCTACAACAAAACTAACTTGAGAAACGCTCAAAATTGTTTAACAGTTATAGTCTTTACTCAACTTGGTTATTACATCCTAGATGAATGTTCATTTCGGTATGTTCAAAAATACTGAACCTGAAAGGTTTTAAAATAACAATCCTGAATTCACTTACAGTAAAGCATAAATCACAAGCTTGTATTGCAAAACTGTTAAACTTAGTTTTTTGTTTTTTTGTTTTTTAAAAAAGATGTGACCAAAAGTCAGCAATTGGTTACATTCCCCAGCCACCACTCATGTTGGACATGTTCGACATGCCGCCCATGCCGTTCACTCCCATGGACGCGCGGTTCCCGCTGCTGTAGTAACTGCTGTTCATGGCGCCCTGGCTCCCGGGGTCTGAGGGGGAAAACCGACAGCAGGTTCACAGCTGGTTCAGGCCGATTCGAAGCATCATTCCCCCAACGCCTGTCCGTGCTGGGCCACCTCGTAAACACCATCCACTGTGCCCAATACTGCAAAGTGTCAGTTTACAGCTCCAGACCCAGAATCAAGTTTATTGGTTGTTAAAAGAAAGAGCCAGCGCTGTCTCGCCCTCCTTTTGAATTCAGTGCTTTCTCTCGCGGTTCCATGGAAGCAGAGAGCACCCAGCCTCCCACACACCTTCCCACATTTGTACTCATGTACTTAAACCAGGGTGGTCTCCAGATTCCACACCAAGACAGTACAAAGTCAGAGTAATGGAAGTCTGGAGACCGACATTTCCTACCCCCTTCAGAATCATTCCCACACTCCCCCCCTCAGCTCCATTCCCAGCTGTGAACCCATTCCCCCTCCAGCTCTCCATTAGCTCTGAAATCCACAACACCCAAGTCCTCAATGCTCAGGGCTTGTACCGCCCAGTCTGTACACAGCTCTTCAACAGCAGGAAGAGCCCCTTACAGCATGCTAAGCCACTGTGCTTGCCCCGCCTAAAACCAGTGAAGAAAAGCTCTTACCATATCCACTCATGCTGCTTTGGCCACCGTATCCTCCTCCATAACCCCCACTCAACTGCTGGTTCGCTGGACCACCGTAACTGGATTGGCTTCCTTTCAAGTTAAAGACAAAAACGTTAAGAACTTGCCTGTCAAACAGTCCACTCATTATCAACCAACCCACCCTTTGCCTAACTCTCAGCCCCTGTGCTCTGGCTCTAGTGCTCTCTCACCTAGGTAACTTCCTTCCCAAGTGTGTGAGGTACAAGCTCCAAGTGATGGGGTTTCTAAAGACATTCCTACAATCAAGCAGCAACAAAAATTAAGAATTACAGCAAGTGCTTGTGATTCTCAAGCCCTTGCTGTAAGAGTTTACTTTTGCAGTTTCTACGGACTATACCTAGCAGGATCAATCTGCTATTGTATTTAATACACATCTCAAGGGACTTAAGCTTGGCTTTAAGTGACCTCACACAAAGCGCTGCCTGTGAAAGCACCCAGCCCTTCAGAAGACATGCGGACTCATTAATCATTCATTTGTGCACAGCCCTGACAGACTTATTGCTGCTCCAGACTGGTTGCACATCACAGCAGCACTACAGCAGACCTCTACTATAGCTTACTAACTACTGCTCTTCGCCTCATCACTGGTCTATACTCCCACAAAGCTTTTCTGCAGTGGAAGTATCAGCACTAGACTTCAAACATTTTGTAATCAAACTACTATAAAAGCATCTACACATGCATACCCCCCCCCCCCCCCCCAAAACAAAACCAACCACCACCTTCATCTCTAAGAAACCAGCCTAGCCAGGCAGCAAGAAGGATATCTGCTCTATAGACACAACACAGGCTTTAGACTTGTGTTGCAAACACACATTTTAGATTTTCAAACAATTCTGGAGTTTGCTACAGCAATTCAGTTTCTCCCAAATAGGTTTTCCCTCACCATCAAGACCAGGCTTGAACAGCAGGTCACATGCAGATACATTGTCCATCACCAGACTACGCTCTGGTCTCCAAATAAAGGGAGGGGGGAAGAGAAGAGAAGGACAAGCATCTCCCACTTCACTCCCGCATCACCACACACACACACGCCACGCTCAGCGCCACAAACATTCCCAAAAGGTTTATGTACCTGGCAACGTGCTAGTGTTCCAATCTTGGACTACCCCTTCCGATTCTTTGACTGCAGGATTAAGACAGAAGGTTGAATTTCAGTTTTTAGGCCAGGCATGGAACAAGCAGGAGCTATATAACATTAGCCAGCTTTGTTAAATATCAAGTGTTGCTTAGAAGCGCAGTACACATACCCATTGCTCCCATCATTTGACTGCCATAGGCACCACCACTTCCTCCTGCTGTAGAATTCAAGAAGAGTTCTACGTATCTGTGTTCTGGAAGAAAAAAATTTGCCATGAGAGCGTTTCACACCAGACCCACACCTCACTTGCCTCACTGCAAGCAAGGATGCAATAAAACCTGCTGCAGCGCTGCATCTTCCCTAAAGTCACTTATTCAGAGCAGTTGCACTTACGCATATTTGCTTTGTCTTTGGACATAGCAGCCACTGCATCCTCATGAGTAGCAAATTCCACGTCTGCCTCTCCAGTTACTCTGCCGTCTGGTCCGATTTCAATGTGTACTCTTACAGGGTTCAGAGGTGAAAAGAACTACGTACAAAACAGTCACACAGATTAAAACGCACCAATGCAACAGATCGGTTTTACAGCAAGCCGTTTTCTCTAAAGGAATGCTCGTGAACTGCGGTGCAGTTCACAAGTCCAATAATGACACTTAAAGCCACGCACTTAAGGAGAAGGGCAGATTTGGAACTCACATTATAGATGTCGTTCTCCGTAGCTCTGTAAGGCAGACCTCTCATGTGGACGCAGTGGCCAGTCGTGCTCTGGAAGGTGGATCCCCCGTCGCCGTATCTGTGGTCCGACATTCCTGCAGAGAAAAGAGTCCATTCTAGGTCTTTCAGATGTATTTTAGTTTCTTTTGAGACATATTGTAAGTTCAGTTACTATTCCTATTAGAGAAATCTTACCTCTTCCAAATCTATCAGAACCAAAACCATAGCCATCATTATACCCATTGTAGTCATCATAACCTCCATAACCTATAAACAGATCGGACAACATGTTCATTTCAACTACAGAAAGATCCCAAAAGACACGAACACACTGCAGACAACCAGCATTAGAACCTTCCATTTTGACACATACAAACCAGTAGTTACAAAGCAGGGAAGACATTACCAGGTCCAAGTGTTGCTGCTTCTCAGATGAGCAGCTCCCTCTTGGACTCCGTATACTTACCTCCTCCATAAGCTCCACGCCTCATTCTTTCCAAGCTACTTCCTCTACCAAGACTGTTATATCCCCGCGTAAGACCAGGTCTGTCGTAAGGACCGGGTCTCTGCATTGCCAACAGCTTGCGTGGAGGGTCGTAGTGAGTGCGCACTTCCGCTCGACTACTCTTGAAGATCTCAATGTACCTAGAAGTGTTTCCACAGAAAGAAGTCAGCATGTAATTCCTTCCACAAACGCCTCGTATCTTTACATTAAAACAAGCCATTTAGTCATAGCCCGGAAACTGGCAGTATATTTTATGCCAGATTTACATTATGTAGGCAATGACATACTATAAGCACTACATTACTTCCAAATCAGTGTATTTTCAAGAAATTACAATTACTGAAGGGTTTACATGCTCCTCATACTTCACAGTATCCCAGCCTTAAGGGTGGGGGAGCAGTATCAATTCCCCACCCTCCTCCCCCCAATTTAAAGTGTTAGTTAAAAAACATAGGAGGGACTGATGTCCGCTCAACTCAGCACCGTTTTGCTCACGTGGCAACATAAACAGAGGGTTAAAAACCCGGTCTCCACCAAGATTTTAACCCATCAGGATGCTACAAAAAGCTCTGCATGTGCTAGTGAACCCAGCCTATGCTTCAGTGATTCAGCGTAGGCAAAAAGTGCATGCTTCAATGAAAAATAGTCACAAGTAAAATAGAATAAAAACCCTTTGTGACAATTTCTTGAAAGCTATGCTTATTACATTGAAGATTAATACAGTAAGAAAATTTGTTACATTTCAACTTATAAAACAAGTTTAGAAAGTATCACATTTTCTTATGGTAATAAGAGTACTGTGCATGTCTTTAGCGCTAAAGGCATAATTGGTGCTATTTGAGAAGTTAAAGCCATAGTCTCTCAACTTTGTTGCTTTCAAGCTATCAGTTTTGCACTCCTCCAGTATTACCAAGTTCCCAAAGCACACTTAAGCTTAGCCCAATTTTATCTTTCATTTTGGGAAGATCCAAACAGTGTGACATACACACAATTAGCAATACCTTTACTTATCACTGAGTTAGAGACCAAAATACCGTTCCTATTCAGATGTTAACACTTTCAGAAGAGAGAATATGGATTTAATTGTTTACCATAAGAAAAGTGACATAGCCAACCAACCATCCATCCCCACCTGTGCCCTATTCTTTCCTTGTGTTTCTTTAGAGCCTTTTCAGCTATTTCCTGTGAAGCAAACTGCACGAAGGCCTCCCCCGTACTCCTCCCCTGGAAGTCCACCGGCAATGTTATCCCATTTGGCACGATTTCCAACCCTTCAACCCAAGGACAAATAACCCCAGTAGGGGGGCAATATTAACATCACAAGCCCAGTCATGAGTTTTTCTTATAGCTTTAAATAAACCAGAATTTTAACACTTGTAAGCGAATGGTATGTTGATTCTAGAACACTAGAAGAAAGAGCATGTCAACAAAAAGAGATCCACATCACATACCATTCCATTTACGTTCTTAACCCACCCTGCAGAGCACAAACATTCTGAGTGTCAGACGACTCCTCAGACAAAGCATCTAATGCAGGGTACATTAAGAACCTCATATATTATTACAAACCTCTTCAATTCTGTGAAAGTATTTAAGATGAGTTTTTTTAAGATACTTAAATTCAAACACAGCAAGTTAAACAGCTTTATATATAACAAGTACTTTTACTAGTAGAAGTCACTCAGGTAAAATAATTAGTCTTAGGCAAACATCAAGTTTCAGCATTAATTTTTTTCTTTAGGAGTGCTTAATTAAGAAAAAATCATGAAGTAATTTCAAATGTATTAGTTTCTGAACAGAAGAAGCACATTTTGTATACTAAGCACATTAACAGTTTTTAAAGCTTGAATCACTTAACCATGTAAGAAAAACAACTTAAAATGCATATGCTTAGGAATTGCTCTTGTTCACAACATATTACTGATTCAGAAAACAAAACAAGTTCTGAAGTTGTAAAATTGGAAATATTTCTATTGTATTTTAAAGCAAAACAGTAAGCTCAATCATATCTTGTTATAGCAAAACATTCCAGCTAATTTTAACACTCATATTTAGAAATCTACTACTTTGAAAATACTACTGAATTAAACCCTAGATAAATCAACAGATTTCATTCTTAGGCATTTATAATAGTATTCCAGTTCCTAAAACATACAACAGCTGCAAAAAAGTGAGAATGAGTCAATACATTATTTCTTCATCCATAAAAACTTTAAGATAGACAATGTCAAGGGGTTGGGTTGTTGGTCTTTTTCCCCTTCCTAGAAAGGGGAGTGGGGAGGGGGCAAATCTGTAGTTGGGCAGAGCTCAACAGGCTGGTTTTTATTCTGGAATCTTATTCAATACTAAATCTACATTTATGAGAAATCACAGGCACGATGCATGCCCTTTCCTCAGATCCTGCTCCTTGTACTGAGCCCGGCAGTGAGGGTGTTCTACATCCTTCACTGAACAGCATGAACTAGCTAAGACTAGGTGGAAATATTCTCCCAGCCGAATTGTTCACTTTTCATTTAAAAAGCAAGACACTGGTTTTCTGCTATCCTTACTTGGAACAGTATGTCCCACTAAGTTTAAATTAGAGCAGCTTTCTGGAGTTCTCTTAATTATTTAATAAGCAAGTATTTTAAGAATTGATCCCTCACACCCAGATAACTAATGAAGATGCTTATTTACTTTTAATACCCATCAGTATACTGTCAGAAGAACTACTGGGCCATCCGTGGTGGTTTTTGTTTTGTTTTTTTTTAAGCATAAACCAATAGTGCTACAGCTACTACTTTTACCCCACATACCTGAGAAAAACTGTACAATTTCTTCTTTACTACAGCCAAATGGGAGTCCTCTAAGACGTACAAAACCATCATTAGCCGTATCAGGGCTGTTGGGACCAGTATGCTTCAGAACCCAATCCATTTCAACGTTGTTTGACTTGAAAACTGTAAAAGGCACTTAGAATTAATGCATTCTGAAATACACAACAGCTTTAAAAAACCATTTGGCTTGAAACTAGTCAACTTATGATACACAAGTCCATTTGTCCTTTCACATGCATTTTAAAGACACAGAAAAACAATTAACCAAAAAAAAGCCATCAAGCACAAACACATTTAGTCAGTTACTAGACCAACTGAGTCAAACCTTCAACATATCTGTGTCCCATTGTTTCTCTGTCTTTTTTCAGTGCCAATTTCACATCCTCCTCTGATTCAAGTTCAGCAAATGCTTCTCCGCTTGGCCTGCCCTCTCTGGTGTAGATGAAACGGATACCCAAAGCCCCATTTAGAATTTTGCAGTCTGAAAATGAAATAGGGAACCCAGAATTAATTTAATTATTACAGGAACACTGTGACTTTAAAAGTTTCAGATATTCTAAAAGGAGAAAGAACAACATCTATCAAGTTATATCAAGACAACAAAACCAGCAGTTTCTTGTTATAACTTTTATAGTGAGCAATAGACAACTATGGGACTAACTAAAATCAAATTAACATTCTTCTCCCTTCTAGTCTGAAGATTAGCAAAATATTAAGAATAAATGCAAATTAGCTATCTATTTTCAAAGCTTTGCTGCCTCAAGTTCAATGTGCTGTCTACTTTTGATGATAACTTAAAGACTCTCATCAGCATGAAGCTAAATCACGTAAATCAGCGTAGCCATAATGAACTAAATCAGAAGCAAGTCCAATATGTTAAACTCCTGAAGCAGCTTTAAAATCTCCAGTCACTGAAGAAAGCATGTATTTATTGCCACTATTTATTACTACAGGAGAGTAGTAATTTGGGGGAAAGGACACAACACTAAACACTTGGCACAAGAGAGCCAATCAGAACAGCACCAAGAACTAAACTGATTCAGTTTAACCTGAAGCAAGAATTCTTAAGTTTTCTTTAAAAGAGATGCTTATCTCTGCTGGCTGCTCCAAGAAGCTAAGACAGCTGTGGCTATCCCAGCTGTGTCTGGTTCCTGCTAGCATAAACACAGCTTTCCACACAGCGTCCTAGCTGAGGCACTTGTTGCATTACAAGCCTCCCTACCTACTGCAGTGCCCTGACCCCTTTCTGCAACTGCTCACTGCAGCATGCCCACTGCCATAGTGCCCCCAGGAGGAACTCAGAACTGACAACAGAGCCCAAGCCCTCCCTCTCCCCCCCCCCAGTTCTGCTTACCAGAGAAAAACCTCTGCACCTCCTCTGTGGAGCAGGACCAAGGCAGACCCCTGACTTTCACCACATATCCCTCGCTGCTCTCCGTGTTGAGCATCACATTGGGGGTGAGGCTCGGCTCCGTCTCGGCTTCTGTGGTTGCTGGAGAAGACCAAAGCAGGCCCTTTGAGATGCTGCACAGCACGGCCGCCACCCGCAC